GCCCCTGATCTCCACGCAACATTTCTCCACAATGCAACATTGTAGAGGCATGTCAACCAAGACAGCCCTACAACATTCAGAACTTTCAGGAACTCAGGGCAAACCTCAACCCCCCTCCAGGGGCCGTGCAACCATGGAGTTGTTTAACTGCCTCAGTGACCTCACCCCGGAGATAGATGAGTCATCCCCCTCGTCCCCAGACTGTGCTTCCGCCACGGAAGATGTGCCAGTGGGATTAAGGAGGTCGTTGAAGTATTCCTTCTACCACCTGACAATCTTCTCAGTCAAAGTCAGCAGGGCTCCACCCACACAATACAGAGTGCAGGTTTCTCCTCCTGAGCCTCCGGATAATTGCCAGAATCTCTTCGAGGCACTCCAAAATCTTTTTCCTCTCCGAACTTCTCCTACACCCATGTTTTTGCTTCAGCCACTGCCCGACCCACTTTCTGCTTGGTCTGCCTATGAAGTCCCACAGGCTAACCAAGCCTGTTAGGCCTCATTCTTTAGCCTGGTGGCTCCCTTCACTTCTGGTGTTCACCACTTGGTTCAGGGGTTACCACCACGACAGGCATCAAACACCTTGCGGCCGCAGTTCAGTACAGTCCCATTCTCCCTCGGAATGCTGTTGAAGCATAATAATAAGGCTTCAACAGCATTCCGAGGGAGATAATGATTAATAATAATAATAATCATCATCATCGTTATTATTGTTATTATTATTATTATTATTATTATTATTAAAGCAGCTGTGGTTTTGTGTGTGCTACAATAGTTGGGCAGCTGGAGAATTACGCACATTGGAAAGTCAGTCAATAAAAGACGTGTTAAACTGCAATGCTACTGTTGTTGGGTCCTTCATTGCCACAATGGCTAGATGTTGATCTACTTAATTCTGATCTGCTGCTGAGTCTCTTTCACTTTGCTGAAAACACAAAAAAAACCCTGAATTCTACCAGTCTGAGGTCATAACTCTCATCAATTACTGCAGCATTCACGACTTGTCTCATTTGCAAAAGTGCTACAATTTTTATCCACTTTTATCATCGTCATCTGTCTGTGATTGGAGTAGGCACCATTTGCAGTATTCATTATTTATTTTGTGTGAAGGAAGTTACACTTCATTCATATTCATACCCTTTAGGAAATTATCTCAGACCTCTTCTTGAATTTTTAAAAAAAATAAGTCTGCAGGTTTGCCTTTGTATAAAACACAGGTTTGTTGTAGGTGGATGGTGGTGGGTCCATCAGCTGATTGGTTCAGAGATGCTTGGAGGTGCTGTTTGACTAATATCTCAAGTATACGCACTTCTGTCGAGAGCTCCTTTGGGGGGGACAGCAGGTAGCTGGCGTCCTCGGCGACCACAAATAGGCGTCCCCGTTGGGCTTGTCAGGGTGGAACCGCCTCCAGCATTAGCCCTGATGAAAAAA